TATTGCGGTTCACTCTTGGTGTGGTGGACCGACAACTGGTGGTCAACTTGTAACACCCAGCTGAACTGAACCAGTGTGGTGCTGGGTACAGAAGGCCCACCTGAGGACTACTGCCAGCAAAAATAAAAGGGGGAACTGGCGAAGAAGAGGTGCTGTTAGGGAGCTGTTGGCTCTCCTGGAGGAGCTTGTCATGCTGGCTTTCCTGATACGGCCTTGCCTGTTCTCACTGTTGGAGGAACTTGGGACCTTGTTGTCAGTGAGAATGGTTTTGGTTTACTTCGGGGGAGCCCTGGTCCTTACTTTGAATATCGCTTCCTGGCTCCAGAGGGGAAGATGGTGCACTGCTTAGTGTCCTGGAGAAGCTTGTCGTGTTAGCTTTCCTGATGGGAACTCGGCTTTCCTCATCATTGGAGGAGCTCAGGACCTCACTGTTGCTGAGGATGGCTGTAGTACTCTTCCAGGGCACTCTGGTTCTTATTTTGAGCATTGCTGTCTGGCTCCAGTGCAAATCCCTCAGCCTGCTAGCACAGATCCTTCATCCTGCTGACACAGACTTCCTAGATTCCACCACTGACCTTTGGGCCTTCCCAGTGCAGATCTGTGAGACAGGCCTGCATGAAACATTGTCATGGGCTGTAAGCCTCCAGGTGGACTTGTGGGGGGCATTGTGATGTGCTCTAGGTCTTCAGCTGGGCTCATGCAGAACATTGCCATGGGATCCAGGCCCTCAGCGGGATTCATTGGATCTTTAGTGTGTGGACAGATTTCCTGCACTCTTTGGGTGACTACTATTAAATAATCCTATAAAGTATGTGTCCCATGTTAAATAGCTTTCCATGAAAACCCTGACCACAACACTTGGTGTTATACATTTTATAGGTTTAGACAAATGTATGATGTGTTCACCATTATAGTATCATGGAAAGTAACCTTACTCCCCTTAAAAATCCTCTGCACTCCATCTGTTTGCCCTCCTCTCCCCTTAACCTCTGCCAACCACTGATCTCTTTTACCATTCTCATAGTTATGCTTCCCTAGAAATGTCATGTAGTGGGAATCACAGTACGTAGCCTCTTCAAGCTTGCTTCTTTCACTTAGCAATTACATTAAGGTTCTTCTATGCCTTTACTTGGCTTGCTGAATCTCTTTCTTCTCATGGTGAATAAAATTTCTTTCTGAATGTACTAATACCTTCTCAATCACATGTTAGTTTCAACATATTTCAGAAAGGCACTGATAGAGTTATCTGTAAAGGGGAAATAAAAAGGACATGACAGCCTGATATTGTGGTGCCCAGTGAAGTCGGAAGGGTGGATGTAGCATTGAGTGGAAGGCATGCCCAACACCAGGGAGCAGTTGCAGTGTGTCATATGCGGGGACTACAGCTCCATGAGAACAGGATGTGTGCAGGTTTATTCAAAACACATGACAATGATCAAACAGGCCAGCTGACTCTCTAAGGGGGATTGTATTGGTGCCTATAACTTTGGGTAGGTCTGGATTTTCAGGCAGAGCTGAATGTAGGACAGGAAAATATGCCAGTAGTGTCCTGGCTGTCTCTGCCTCTCCACTTCACCTTCCTACGGGCTGGCTTTGTTCCCAGGTCAACTCTCCCGTGAGGAAGCCAGGATGACTACCTGGAGCTGAAGGCTCACTTTCTACCAGCTGCTAACAGCAGCACAAATGAAACGGGCCCTTCCTGCCAAAACTTTCAGGGAAGGATTTCACTGGCCCTGCTATGAACAAATCCCTATAGCTGACTGGCATCCACCCTTGGAATCAGAGATTGGGACCACCCTCCAGAACCACCCAACGGACATGAGAGTGGAACTGGGAATGTTTCCAAGGAAAAATCCGAGTGTTCTTACTAAAAGGGGTAAGAGGGAAAGGATTCTGAACATGTAAATTCAAAAGATGTTCTCTGTGCCAGCCTATATGGAGATTGCTCAAAGTAGCAGAGATGGGTATCAATACGTATTACATAAAAGCAAGTATGAGGACCCTCTTGATATTCTTTTACAATTGAACATTAAATGTTTGCTGGGGTATCACTTCTGTGCTCCTTGGGCTGCTGAAGAAGTGTAGAGGTTCTCATATATTCATACTTAGCTTCTTTTCTACCCATTTCTAGTGTGTCTTCATGTACCGTTGAGACTAGAAAATAAAGCGTGACATTTTTGAGACTCCCTTGCAGCTACAGTAATGCATTCAAGTCAGTTTCATTATGTAGATGTGCTCAGAGACGTTCTGTAGGGCAAAAGCAAGGAGGAAGGCAGCTTTCTGGTGATTGGTTGCTCTCTGCCAAGCATAGTGCCTGGTACATCATGGCACTCAGATGTTCAATGAGTATTTACCAAATTTATATTCTGGTATGTTAAGGGCTCTGAGACTCAGAATTATCTCTGGAAACTTTCACATCAAAGATCAACTCTAAAGATCAAAGGAGGTAACAGAAACTCCAGCTGCCAAAGCAAAATCAAAAGAGCAAAGTATTTCTTTCTTTCCTCCCCAAGTCCCTTGAGAGAGAGAGAGATTAAATTACCATGTAGTACTGTACCGTAGGATACCATCTCAGCATGAGTATCCTAGTTATTTTAAGTATTAAAATCTCAGATTTCTGGCTCTACCCATTATAGGGTATGTGACCTTAGAAGAGTTTTATTTACCTTGTTTTGTTTTTTACCTGAAGCTCTTTCATTTTAAAGTGCAAGTGTGGGGTCTGGGGATTTAGCTCAGCGGTACAGCGCCTGCCTGGTAAGTGCAACGTGGTGAGTTCGATTCCAGGTGCTGGAAGAAAAAAACAACAACAAAAAAAAAAACCCAAAAAACAAACAAAAAAAGTGCAAGTGTGGAGAATAAAGATGGCCACGAATTCCCTGACGCTGTTCCCAGCTGAGGCTGGGATCCATGCTCCTCCCCTCTCCCTATGGTTCGGGTGAACTTCGCGCCCGTCTGACTAGCAGAACACAGCAGATGTGACACTGGGCCAGTTTCCCTGCACAGGTCTTAAGAGACTGGCTGCTTCTACTTCCGGACAGCGACTGCATTCAGAAGTCGGCCACAGGCCCTGAGAGTTCCTGAGCTGGTCCCAGCGGCCCCAGGCCTTCAGAGGAAACGTAGCCCTGCTCGTCAAGAAGCCACCTGAAATGTCCAGCTCAGCTGAGCCTTCAGATGACACAGCCTCAGCTGCAGAGACCCCGTGCGAGAGGCCCCCGCCGCGCCGGGGCAAGCCAGAGAACCGCGAGCCACTCGGTGTGAGGGGTGGGCACAGCCGCGGTAGATTGCTACAGCTGCAAGAAATGACAGTAGCTGCCTCCCAGGACCTCTCCCACAGCCTGGAACAAGACGGCTCGTCTTACATCTCACTGCCCTGCCCGGCCTCCTTCCTCTGAGGCTCCGAGAAGGGGCCGCTCCGGAGGCGGGTGGGGTGCCGGGGCTGGAGCGCAGGTGCTTGGAACTGGAGTGACACTCTCTTCTTTTCTCCATCTTCCACTCTTTTCCTCCTGTTCTGTGTTTTTTAAAGCACAGCCAGATCAGTTAGACCGAAAATAAGGGTACCAACTTCAGCTTTCATGATGCAGACAGAGAAGTCACAGGTTTGGTACGGCCTCAGGGAAGGGAAAACCAAGTCCCAGAAGTTAAAATGGTTCAAAGCGAAATTCTCCTTGACAGCTTTCGCCGTGGCTCTGTGCGCGCGGGTGCGCGTGACTGACACGTACTTAAACACGCACTGCGCACTACGTAATCATCTGCCACGTGAACACGGCAGAACTGCAGGCTGTTTTGGGGGGAGAGGTTTACAAAGCACATGGCGACCTGCAATTACAGCTTTGCTGAGTTTCATTTCATAAAATGCCAGTTCGACCTGAACCACACAGAAAGACACGACGCATGCCGGAAACGCTTGCTTTCTGCCTCAAGCGGGTGACCTGGCGCCGCTCTGCATCCTAGCGATCTCCACGGCGGTGACGGCAAGCTCGTGGTCTTGCCCGCCGTGTGCGCAGCCTCACGCTTCGCGAGGGCGGCTTGCCCGTCGCCGAACTCCTGCGAGGCGCTGAACTCGCTGCGGCAAGCTCACTGCGGGGTCCAGCGGGAGAGGCTGCCCGCCACCTGCTCACGTCGGTGCACGCGGGGGAGGTCGGCGCGTGGCGCACCGTCCGGCTGTTCGCGCGGCGCGGGAG